CTGCATTCAGAGAATTGCCTTTGAGGTACTTTTTTTTTTTGGAGTGCTGGGGTTTGAACTTGAATCATCACTCTTTCTAGGCAGGTTATGTTATCACTGAACCATAAACTCCTGTTTACTGCTGCTTATTCTTTGCTTCCCTGTCTGGCATACATCTGGACATCATTGGGACTTCATTCCATTTTATGGCCTACCTAGGCACACATCACCATGTCCGGCTCTCCATTCACAGTGAGTCTCAGAACTTTTTCTGAACTTAGTCCCAAACCATGATTCTCCCAATCTAGACCTGCCAAGTAGCTAGGATTACAGGTGTGAGCCATCAGCACTCAGCTTGAAGAACTGAACTTTTTCATGAAACCCTAAAGCTTTTCCTTGGGGTTGATTAGATTTTAGAAAGGAAAGGATAAATTTCTAGGATAGAATGACCAAGTAGACAGAAGGATTTAGAGCTCAGAGAATATCTTGTTCTGAATTTCCTGTAACAATGCCTTCATCCCCAAGATTCCCTGCTGATGTTTGAGGTGAAATTCAATCTTGAGTGTGCTTTATGGGGGGTCAGATTACTGATACTGTGATAGCGATTGCAGTAAATCTGAAAATTAAGTATGTGGAGATTTTAGCAATGTGAAAAATTAAGCAATAGGACGCGTTTCCATCTATTTGTGTCTTATCCAGCTACTCAGTTTTAAGTTTAGAGATCTTTCACCTACTTCATGAAGTTGATCCTTGGCTATTTTTATTTTATTTTATTTTATTTTTTGGGGGGTCCAGTCGTGGGGCCTGAACTCTGGGCCTGGGCACTGTCCCTCAGCCCTTCAGCTCAAGGCTAGCACTCTACCACTTGAGCCACAGCACCACTTCCGGCTTTTTTCTTATGTGGTGCTGAGGAATCAAACCCAGGGCCTCGAGCATGCAAGGCAAGTGCTCTACCCCTTGGCTATTTTTAGATAGAGTCTCACTCCCCATCAAAGTATATGCCTGGGCTCTTTCCCTCCTGTTTTTTTTTTACTTCATGTCATAGATGGGATGAAAGGTGCATGCTACCATGCCCACCTTGGGGGCTCCTGGACTTTTTCAGCACTGATTGGTCTGGAATCACAATCCTCCCAATCTTAGCTTCCCAACTAGAAGGACAAGCATAAGACACCATACCCAGCTATTTTTGAGAAAGGGTCTCTGTCTCTCTCTGTCTCTATCTGTCCCTCTGTCTCTCTCTCTCTCTTTCTCACACACACACACACACACACACACACACACACACACACACACATTATGAGAAACAAGAGACAGGATCAACATTCACAAGGTTAAATCATCTGCAGAGTACACACTATGTCCTTAATCCTTATCAGAGAGAGTTGTTCATTAAAAAGATTAGAAATCTGTAATATAAATTACTGTACTTTATTACTCTGCATATTCTTTGGTCCAGGGGGCATAGATTAGATCTTATGATGTATAAATAATAAGCACAGTTACATATAGGGTTGAGCAAATATTCATATGAATAAATTACATAATTGTTCTTATGGTGGTATATATAAATAAATTTCATGTGCACAGAATACATTTCCTTGCCCATATGAGAATATAACATGTTGGAAAGGAGGAGAATGAATCTCCCTAGTTGGAATATTTAGAAGCTCCTTCAAAAATACATTCAAGGAAAGGTGGCATATTTGCCATTAGCAATAATAAATTGAGTTATTATATTATTATATTATATTATAATATTGAGATATTATCCTAAAATGGCAGCATAATAGAAGGAGTACAGCTCTTGTTCTATTTCTGTGAAGAATGAGGTCTGGACATTTCTAAATACATCTATTTCTCCCTATGAGGATGGCAAAATGTCACTGCTGTACATCTCACAAAGGTCAGAGTCTTGCCATGAAAAAAAAATAAAGCAACTAAAACCTGCCATCCTTGTTAGCCAGTTTTGCAACAGAACAAATACATGGATAGACAGATTAATAATAGAACAAGATGCTGGACACTGGTGGTTCATGCCTGTAAGTCTAGCTGCCGAGGAGGCAGCGATGGTAAAAACTTAGCCCAGGCAAGAAAGTCCACGTGACACTTATCTCCAATAACTTTTTCAAAAAAATAAAAAAGCCAGAGTGAAGCTCTAACTCAAGTGATAGGTCACTAAATTTGGGCAAAAAAAATCTCAGGGTCAGTGCTTAGGCTGAGTTCAAGCCCCAGGACCAGTACATATATGTGTGTATATACAAGACAGTATGTCCAAAAACAGACCTGAAGAATGGACCTGAATCTGAAGTCTAAAAATATTTACTTACCTGCAATCATAGCCAAGCATTTGTCCAAATCATGTTGTACTTGTAGCTGTACAACATACTTGTTCTAAGTTCAGTAATTGTTGCAATTGAGTAAATGTGATATTTGTTCTACAATTCATTCTAGGTAATGACAGTTCCTGTAATTATTGATATATTTTTCCTGGTATCAGCAAAGTCTTATCTAATTTACTCAAGCTGAGTTGCCAGGTCATTTCGTAGAACACTCCTCATTGGTCAAAACAAAATCTGTAGAGAGTATTTATTCCTCAACAGCACTCAATTCCTGCTGTCTTAACGGTCCATCAGAGGAGGTTTTGCTTCATTGGCTGATCGGCAACTGTGAGTAGTAAAAGGCAGGTTGAGAGTGTCTTGCAGGTTGCACCCCCTCTTCTACATAATATGTATTTGAATTTCCCCTGTGTTTAATTATTTTCCCTTCTTCTCTTTGTACGATGGTGAAAGAATAAGAAGCTTTAGACAACCCTTGCTACTTGTACAATCTTTTTCATATCTATCTATCTGTATCAGAGATTTCAAATAATACACTACCCCTGTCTATCCCGTACATAATTCCTCTCACACTGCTCTTACTATCTTGTTTCTTGTCAGAAATGCCTTGAACTCTCTCTCTTTACCTCTGTCTGTCTGTCTGTCTGTCTGTCTCTCTCTCTCTCTGGTGTAAAAAGCATATCAGTTGAGGATCTAAGCATAATAAATATCACAAGTGTGGGGGAAGTTTCATTCAGAATGATTGTAGTGAGTACTTGACATTCTCTTTTTCTCAAGATTCAGTTTCTGGAATCCTTGATGAATGTGTAGTGGGATATTAGGAGGTGTGTCGTAGTGATCCACACTTCATTTTTGCTTTTCACCTCAACCTTATTTTTCACTTGTACTTATTAATTTGTCCATGGGATAGACACTACCTTTTAAGGACAGAATTCTCTAAGGTTTCCCTTACAATGCCATCATCAAAATAGCTCTGTATCTATCTCTCTTGAAGTCGTTTGTTGAGTTCCATGAACTCAGCTCTTCTAGTCCTCGTACTTAAAACTCAGGATCCATAGACTTCAGCTTCTGGAGAACAAAATGCGTAAATGGTAATAAGATATTAATTACAACTTTCAGTTCAAGACAAGTCACAGCCCACAAAGCTTTACCCAACTGATTCTAATAGGATTTCTACTGGTTCTCTGCAAATGACTGAAGCTGGATTTCTTCTATCAGGCCAGGGTATTTGGATGGCAAAAATGTAAATGTTGTTTGTTGACGTGTCATTCAGACAAATCCAAATTTTCAGCTTTTTGGTGTGCACAAAAATTTCTTTAAAAAACAGTTTAGTATGTACCAGTTCTTTTTTATTGTTAAAAAAACATACAGAGGGGTTACAATTACATGGGCAAGTTTTAATGAGTACATTTCTTGTCAAGAATTGTTGCCTCCTCCTTTGTTTCCCCTTCCCATCCCTTCCCATCTCCCACCCACCCTCCCCACCCCAGCCAAAGTTGTAAATCGTTTAAATAGGGATAAGGTGGACCCATTGCAACAAAATGTACAAGCCATCATGTCGAAAAATGAACTTTACAACTTTGTACCAGTTTTAAAATGAATGTTCTTAGAACTTACTCTTTTGCATACTATTACCTATTTCCCAACCAGTAGATGTTTCTCAAGCTGATTGGATAAAAATGATTTGGTTGGTCCAGATTTTGAAAAGATTTTTATCTGTGTTTTACTTTAAAGTTATATCCAGTTTCAGATTTAGAATCTTCTGTTAGAAATGATCATTTCCATGTAGTATCTTGGAGCCATTTGGAGGAACATTCGTAGAGTAAAACCAATTGGTATCAGGTAAGATTTTCCATTATTCATTTGAATAATGGAAAACCTGAACCTCTCATCCTAAACCTCAGAAGCTTCTTCATTCACATACTAGAAAAAATACGAACAAAATCACATTTATTAAAGAGTTCCTTATTTTTGAAAGTTTCTATTTTTATGTAAACAATAAGAATAGAAAATATTAGTAGGCACTGGTGGCTCATGTCTATAATTCTAGATACTCTTGAGTCTGAAGATCTTCACTTGAAGCCAGCTAGGTAGACACATCTGAGAGACTCATCTCCAATTAACAAAAACAAAAAAAACCCTGAACTGGAGCCAGACATGGCTCATATTGTATAGTTCTGCCTGAGAGAGAACAGGCCAAGCTATCGTGCAAGGTCTTGGTTTAAGCTTCAGTACTGGCACAGTAAAAGAAAATAACTAAAAAATAATAAATAGAAAATAGTAAGGAACTCTAAAAAGTTTAAACTCTGTAGCCATATTGTATTACCCACGGCTCTCAGTCTTGCTAAGCTGTGCAACTTTGAATACTTTAGTTGGCTTCTCTGTTTCTTCTTAATTTTCTCATCTGTTTGTTTAGAATCATGATAATTCTTTCCTCCTGGGACTTTAGGAGAGTCTGCTTAACTTTTTTTCTTCATAGATAAAATAGTAAAAAGTTTTAAAAAACCAACTTGGATTGTTACGAAGTTTAAATCACTGAATATGTGTAATGTGTTTATTATAGTAAATATTGATACACAGAAACTACTTAAATGAGGCTATGATATTGAACACTCATAAGTAATAGTTATTATAAAATCCAAAGAACTTGAGAATTGTATGTTCTTACTTGCAGGTGGAATAATCATGGAAAATACAAATGAATACTTATTAAACTTTAGAGGCTATAATTTTGAACGCACTTTAGTTGACATCGAGTTCCTTAAAAATATAGAAGATTTTGAAATTAGGGATGATGATGTTTTTGTAATTACATATCCAAAATCTGGTAAGTGAAAATAGTGGGTCATCTTTTGTTGTTTGGTTGGTCTTGGTTTTGTTTGTTTATTTGCCCTGGGTATGAATAAGGGTACATTTGTTTGGCCCACTTGCTTACTCATGTGTTATTCTACTACTTGAGTCACAGCTCCAGTCTAGCTTTTTACTGATTTTTTTTTTGGGGGGGGTCCGGTCATGGGTCCTGAACTCTGGGCCTGGGCACTGTCCCTCAGCTCTTCAGCTCAAGGCTAGCGCTCTACCACTTGAGCCACAGCACCACTTCCAGCTTCTTTCTTTTTGCTTATGTGGTGCTGAGGAATCGAACCCAGGGCCTCATGCATGCAAGGCAAGAGCTCTATCACTGAGCCACCTTCCCAGCCCCTGCTGATTGTTTTAAAGATGGAATCTTGTGGACTTTTCTCTCCAGATAACCATAGTCCTGCAGTTCTCAGTGTCTCCATGATCTATAATTACAGATGTGAGATATCAGCACTGTGCAGTAGTAGGCCATTATGTGTTAGTCATTGCTTTGGTTTGGTAATATAGGCATAAAATTTGCTCTTTTCCAGAAATCAGCAGTAGCTTATTCTATCATTTGAAATCAGAGAAAAGTTATACAAAGGGACTTTAATATAAGGCCATTTGCATTTTATGTGTTGTCAATTTTGATAACAAATACTGAGTCCTACTGAGTAGGACTTGGTAAATACTGACCTACTGGCTTAGTCTGTGGGATAGATTTGAACCAGCCAGAAATCATTTCACCAAGTAGTAAATGCTTCATTTGTGAAAGATGCATTGTCTCCTATAGAGATTAGTTTTCCAGCTAGATGTTTGTGGCTCATGCTTGTAATCTTAGCTACATGGAAGGCTGAGGACAAGAGGAACATAGTTTAGGACCATCCAGAGCCAAAAGTTCAGAAAACCCGCTTCTCAACCCTTATCTGGATCAATGCCACATACCTGTTATACAAATTACATTGGAGGCTGCAATTGAAAAGATCATGGTGCCCAACCATGATTCTTGGGTAGGACTTGAGTTTTTTTTTTTTTTTTTTGGGTCCGGTCGTGGGGCCTGAACTCTGGGCCTGGGCGCTGTCCCTCAGCTCTTCTGCTCAAGGCTAGTGCTCTACCACTTGAGCCACAGCACCACTTCCGGCTTTTTTCTTTTTGTTTATGTGATGCTGAGGAATCGAACCCAGGGCCTCATGCATGCAAGGCAAGCACTCTACCACTGAGCCACCTTCCCAGCCTAAGCAGACTAAGAAGTAGAGCTGTGGTTGAGGTTTCACATAAACTCCTTTACTTATGAGGTAACTGTCCCGAAACAAGAAGGCAGTCAAACATGATCTAGCCATAAAAATAAGTAGAAATCATTTTGAAATACATTGCTTCACTTCAAGATTGGCTTTGCCTTTTACCATTACCACTAGATTCACACAACAAAATTAGACAAATAAATGAGCATCCTTGGAGTTATGGAAAGAAAAAAGAACACTATTTTAGGATGAATGGCCTAACTGTTGACATTTGTCATTAGAAAAACTTGAAGCTGGGCGCCGGTGGCTCACACCTGTAATCTTAGCTACTCAGGAGGCTGAATCATGATTCAAAGCCAGCCCAGGCTCCTGAGGAAAGGCAGTGAAACATTTATCTCCATTAAACCACCAGAAAACCAGGAGTGGTGTTGTGGCTCAAGTGGTGGAGCGCTAGCCTTGAGGGAAGAGCTCAGGGACAGCGTCCAGGCGCAAAATAACCGACTTGATCATTGAAAATAAGATTATTTATTTTTCAGGTACTATATGGTGTCAGCAGATACTCAGTTTGATTTTTCACGAGGGGCATCGCAACGGGACTGAAAACATAGAAACACTAGATCGAGTCCCTTACTTTGAATACAATATTCGTAAATTGGACTACGTCAAAAGATCATCACCTCGCCTCTTCTCCACCCACATTCCATATTATTTAGCACCTAGAGGCTTGAAGAGCAAAAAAAATAAAGTATGTATGGAGTTCACGTAGACAAAATACCTTCTTTTAGTGCTGTATCTTGCTATTATAACACACACCGCTATGAACATTTTTGTCAAGTCCCTCGGGCCCATCTGCATTTGACTCCCTAGGTGTATAACCAGAAACGCAATTCCAAGTACTTACATATTTCTGAAGAGTACATATTCATATTTATGCATTTATGCTGAAGCCAGTAGTAGATGAGTTATTTTTTTAACTAGTAGGTTTGCCTGTCAAACTTTCAAATATTTGTCAATATGGTCATTTTTCCATTTGTTACTTGTTTCTGAGATGTGGTCTCCCTAACTTTGCCTGGACAATCTTCCTGTTTTACATTCTGAAAGATATATTTGTATAATATCTAATACCTGATTAGATATTGCATAACTTTAGATATTACATAACTTTATGGTATATTTCAACTTAGTTTCAAAATTTATCCAATTTTCTTTTAAAAATTATACATATACATATAATTTAACTTTGAGACAATGTTTTACTATATAGCCCAGTGGCCTTGAACTATTCCTGATTTATAGACTTCATTCACCAGCTTATAAAAATATTTGTTTTTTGATGATTTTTCAAATATTTAAGATTTATAATCTAAATTAATTTGTTTCATCTCTTATTCCTTTTTGTTTTGCAATATTAGGGGACAAACCTAGGGCCTGTGTGCAAGGTAGGTGAGCAACCTACCACTAAGTTCCCAACTCCTTAATCCAATTTTAAATGACTTTTTGTGTATGTGCCAATATTGGGGCTTGAATTCTGCGCCTGGGCACTGTTTCTTAGCTTTTTCAAGCATGATAGTCTACCATTTGAGCCACAGCTCTAATTCTAGCCTTTTGATGGTTAATTGGATAAAAGTCCCATGACTTTTCAGCCCAGGCTGACTTAGAACCATGTACCTCAAATCTCAATTTCCTGAGTAGCTAGGATTGCAGGCATGAGCCATTGGCACTTGCTGCAAATTATTATTTTTAATGTGTTACTGTTCCTTTTTATTATATATAGAGAACTATTTGTATCTACCTAATGAGATCCTGTTTCACTATCCCCATTAGTACCTTGGCTACAGAATGTATCATATATCATCACAGAATATTCATGGCTGCAATGGTTCAAACTAATTTTCAATGTTTATCAACACTAAAAGTAATTATTTTGCTTTTACAAATCTGTCCTATATTCTTGCCATATGTCATGGAAATAAAAGCATTCATTATAACAGTGTAACAGTAAGAAAAAGTTTATAACCACCTACATTTCCATGCGTGGATGGGAATAATGATTGCTTTCTGTATTAAAATATTATTTAGTTAAAAAGCCCTGTAAAAGTAACCAAGAATTTTTTCATAATTCATCTTTCAGATGCTTTATATCTACAGAAATCCTAAAGATGTTTTGGTCTCATTTTTTCATTTTTCAAATTGGATGGTTAAATTAGAAGCCGCAGATACCATAGAAAACTATATGAAAACGTTTCTAGATGGAAAAGGTAACCATGAACTTGTTTACTTAGCAACAAGTTAACAAAGGAATGCTGTAACAAAGTAAGACTACAACTTATTCAAGTTTTCCACCTTCGGGAACACATTTCACAACGATGGAGAACAATTCAATGTATATAAGTCATCAAAAATGCACATTAACTTTCCATGCTGCCCAACAGTTTTTCTGTTCTTGCCGTATCATTTGGGAATTGTCCTGTTACAAAGGCATATTGATTAAGAACTATTTTGGAAAGACTAAGGATATTTACCAATATTGTATCAATTTATATGAGTTTAAGAGGAAGATAGACTCATTCATTCCAGCGTAGCTAATGTTTGGCTGAAAGCCTTCTCTGTTGTGGAGCTGTAGTAGGCCTTAGAGGGCAGCTGAGAAGCATGGATTGGTACAAGAACCTTGCAGAATTTGGGGTCAGGAGCTCACTCCTTTAGAAGATTAGGTTCATGTTCTGTCTCTGTTGAGAGATAATGTTACTATATTGATATATTTCAAATAAGAAGGGAAATAGAGACAAAGGTATTCTCTTCAGGAGAAGGATATAGGAAAATGAAGAGACTGGTCTTAAAGATGCCTTCTAACTTAAACCCATGGGTTTCTTGATTCTGTATTGTTGCTCTCCTGCGTGCATAAAGTTTGGAGAGGCAGATTTATATGAAAATCATGTGATGCCTTCATAAAACAATATTTTAAGACAGACATATGTATATCTAGTGGTGGAATCTTTGTTTTTCATTTCTGGCAATTGAAAACCAAGAAAGAAATTGTACAATTTGTTTCTCAATAAGTGCAATGCCTTGACCTTGCTACTCATTAAAACTTTCCCTTCAGTGGTAGGAAGCCGGTGGTTTGATCATATTAGAGGCTGGTATGAACACAGACATGACTTCAATATTCTGTTCCTGAGTTATGAAGAAATGAAGAAGGTAGGTTGAAAGGGTAATACATTTTGAATTATTTCCTTTTTTCTTTCCTCTTTAGTCTTCTTTCTAGCCCCAGACATTTTTATGCTTTAGTTACTTTCAGATAAGATCTCACATTTTTCCAGGGTTGCCTTCAGACCATGAGGCTCTTATCTATACTTCCAGTATGGGTGGATGTATCAGCACACACTACCATGCCTAGCTTGTTGAGAGGGAATCTCACTACCATTCCCCTGGTCATATCTTAAACTTCATTTCTCCTAATTTGTGTCCCCTGAATAGCCTTGTATTATCAGCAATATACATATCTAAACAATTTGTTTAAATTTAGGCTTTGTAGATTACAGGTGGTTTGTATGAAATTTCATAGGTGACTGTATATAGTGTATTTTGAGAAAGTTTGCCTTAACCCTCATCTGTATTTCTTCCCTTTTAGAAGTAATATTTGGGAGGTTTCCCAATGCAATCTCTATACATATACATACACACATGTAATTTATACACGCATGCATATGCATATAAAAATACACACACATAAGCATGCATGTATACATATATGTACACATATACATGTATATCACTTATGTTTATGTACATATACATAAATAGATGTGTAGCTGTATATATACATATATCTGTATACACACACACATATAAAACATACTTTGCTTTCTTTGACACATGGTTCCTTCTTATTTCTCCTCCTGCTCCCTTTGAACATCCCAAGTCCAGTTGTTCTTGGTTTTCATTTTAGATATAAATTTTCTATTTGAGCAAGAACATGTGACATTTTGTTTGGAGGCTGACATATTTCACTCAATATAATAATTTCTTGTTCCATTCATTTTCCTGAAAATGACATAGTTTCATTCTTTATGGCTATGTTTATTTCCCATTGTGGACACACACCACATTTTCTTGATTAATTTGTAAATTGTAGGGCAACTAGATTGACTAGATTGGCTATTGTGAATAATGCTACAATAAATAGTAGTGAATGTTAGTTTATACTTTCTTAGATAGAGGCCTAAGAGAATGATAAGGTCACACCACTGTAGCTTTTTAATGATCCTCCCTTCTGATTTCCATAATGGTTGCACTAGTTTTTATCCTCATTGGCAGTGTATAAAATTCCTTTTCTTTCACATCCTCACCAGCATTTCTTGATGAAGTAAATGAGTAAATGAAGTCTCAGTTTCATTTTGTTTTTCATTTCCTTTTATGACTTAGTTTGTTGAATGTTTCTTTGTTTCTTAGCCATTTGTATTTCAGAGGTCTCTATTTCATTTGTTCATTTAATCTAATAATTTACTCTTTTTTTTTTGCTGATCATGGAGCCTGAACTCTGGGCCTGGGCACTGTTCCTCAGCTCTTCAGCTCAAGGTTAGCACTCTACCACTTGAGCCACAGGACCACTTCTGGCTTTTTCTGCTTATGTGGTACTGAGGAATCGAACCCAGGGCCTCGTGCGTGCAAGGCAAGCACTCTACCACTGAGCCACCTTCCCAGCCCCTAATTTATTCTTTTGATTTTTAATTTTTTGAGAACATTATATGCTCTGATATTAATCTTTCATCTGAAGAAAAGTTGACAAAATTTTTCTCTGATTCTGTGAGTTGCTCTTGACTGTGTTCATTGTTTCTTTTGATGTGCAGAAATTTTTAACCTCTACACAAAAAGTCATAAAGCCTTAAAGAAATAAATTAAGTGGATACCAGATGCTTCTGGGTTGAACATGAAAACACAAGACATTTCTAATATTCATTGGTTGGAAGAATTACTATTGTGAAAATTGCCATACTACAAACAATAATCTACAGATCTAAGGCAATCCCCTTCAAAATCCTAAATTTATTTATTACAGATATAGAAAACTGAATCCTAAAGTTTATGTAGAAACACAAAATACCCTAAAGAGCCAAAGCAAACTATTTTAGTCTGTTCTTGTTTATTTTTATCTTTAATAGTTGCAAAAATGGGGGTTATGAGTTGCAAAAGGTGGGGTTATGTCTATTTTTAAAATTTTTTTTTCTTTTGGGTCCAGTCGTGGGGCCTGAACTCAGCTCTTCAGCTCAAGGCTAGCGCCCTACCACTTGAGCCACAGCACCACTTGAGCCACAGCACCACTTCCGGCTTTTTCTGCTTATGTGGTGCTGAGGAATTGAACCCAGGGCCTCATGCATGCAAGGCAAGCACTCTACCACTGAGCCA